TTTTTTACCATTTAAACAGTTTTTGTGTTAATTTAGTTTTATCATTTATTAAATTAATAAAGTGAACCAATTTTTAAATTTAAATTTTCGTCTAAATTAAGTTATTTTTACGCAAACTAAAATAGGTAAACAATTTTGATGACAAAATGTCAATTATTAGAGTGTATAATCAATGTTTTTATTTATATAATTGTATTAATGTACTACCTATTATTTAGGTACTTATATATATATATATTTGCACTAATTATAATTTAAATATGAAATATTTTAACTTTCAATGAGTTAAATCTCGCGTTTGATTTAGATGACTGTAATGCAAATGGAAATAATATCGAATTAGGTAAAATATTAGCAATTCATGTTGGAGATTTTGAAAAATATTGAAAAAAATATATAAAATATCGATTRTATTGATAAAAAGAAATTTCAGTTTATAAATAACTTGCACTAAATTTGAAAAAATAATAATGTCCTTACTATAAGTATGTTCTATAGGCATTAGAAACGTGATTGAAATCACTATATACTAATCGAGTCTCGGTTATTAACGAAAAATATTCGAATTGAGTCACACGGATGGGAAACGAAAAATATTCTAATTTAGTTTGTAGAATGTATATTATTCTGATTAAAATATAAAATCAACCAACTATATATTTACGTATATGGAGAYGATACTCATATACGACGTATTTTGAGAGACGCAATTTCAGTTTGAAATTGTCTTTTTGTTGTAATTATTATTACAAATTTTTTCAAATATCACAACAATATAATATAGTTAGGTGCCTTGACTGAAGTCAGTATTGTAATACTGGTCTGTATATCAAGGACAGCAGCTATACGATGCGATTTTACGAGTTTTGAGTGAAAAATATTGACGTAATAATGTAAGTATCTATAGTATCTTCGTATAATAATCGTATTTTGTAAATCGTAATAATTGAATGAAGAAATACTCAAAACCCTTATATTATATGATATAAAGTGAAATACCTTAGATACTAACATTATTCCTTGATATGCC